CGCTTCACTCGGGCGAGCGTCTAGACGAGTGCCTAGCGCCTCGGGCGTTTTTGGACCTTGGCATCTTTTGGCGCCTAGCGCTTTTTAAATCACTGTTAACAATATTGGAGAATAGGTAAACTCATTTTAAGTTAGTTTTTCAACTTCTATAATTTGATCATGTTTTATGGGTTTGATGGAAGAAAGACGGAAGTATTTATTTCTTTTTTCTCTTTTCCTGTCATATTTGGGTTCATCTTTATCTCCTAAAAGGTTCAAACTAGTCTATTTACATGAAAACAAAGCTAAAACCAGTAGTTATCTCTGATCTTTGACAGATAATTTTATGAGGAATATATTTGTTGATGGCCATAAAATGGAAGATTTAAGGAAATATTTGGCCCACATCAACTTTTTACAATGCAAACACTGGTTAAAAGTAGGTTAGTATTTGGAGTGCCATATCACATCACTGAATTCCTTTGTCCATCGATTAATTAGTTTATTACACGTTTGAGGAAATATGAGGCCATCCCACTAAGCAATGTCTGCCAATGGTGCAGACTACAGTTACAAGCCTGTTGTTCACCTCTCACTATAAAATGCTGATGTTTCCCTTAATTTCTAACATAAGGCATCCAATCTCCTTGGTTACTCCTTGGTGGGTTGTTTTTCACATCTTTGTTTGTTTTTCTTCACCCTGAAAGATTTTATGTAAAGAAACTCTCCAGGACTAACTTTAATACTTTATATGTTCTTGTTTTTTGGTTGAACTCGATAGCTTGTCCTCGTGAAGCAGCAAGAGAATCTAGGATGAAATCAAGGTTTCTATGGCTTCTTCTTGTTTTCTCGATGATGATTTGCATCTTGGCCACACATAAAATGACCTTCACGGAGATGGAAAATGTTAAGAGCACACTCGGATACTCTGGGAGTGGTATTGATAACCATCATAGCATACCTAGAGAACAATATAACAGCCGTGGTAGTGGCAGCACTGGCCAGCAACCCTCATATGGGGACGAAGGAAATAACCAAGGAAGTGGGGGTGGTGGTGTAAATTAGTAACCGCATTGGGATGTTAAGGTGCATGGTTTTTGTGTGGACAACATGTTGATGAATGTCTGTTGAGAGTTACTTTTTATAGTTCAATAAATATGTAATTTGAGAGTGTTAGTAGATGCAAAATATAAACTATTTCTGACTAAGATTGATGTAAATTGGAGAGCTTGGTATTTTGTAATGCAGTATTACTCTGAATGATAGAAGTAGTTTCATATACAGTACTTCCAGTGGTCAGTCTCTTATTGCAAAATCTTGTTATCTTCTTTAACATATTATATCATTAGCTTGTCAAATCAAAATCATCATATTGGTTTTAGTTTAATTCTTGGGCATACATCTGGATATATCTCTAGAGGGGTTGAAAGTCACCGAGCTAATTATGTGAAAGCTGCATCAAGTTTAGGAAAACTAAAGAAACCTATTTATGAAAAACAAGAGAACTAGATAGCTAGCATCAATATGTAAATTTTGATGAAGGAGAATTTTGGATTGTAGAAAAGGTTCTCCATTTGACCAGCATGTAGATATATAGGCATTAATTTGAATATTTAAGTTTCTCATGGAAAAGCAATGATTGTGAAATCTAGATGCTTATTCAGGTTTAACTTGTTAAAAGGTCATCATATATACTATAAGACTGAAGGAAAATTCCTGTGCATGGAAACCTCAACATTAGTGGGAAAACATGGGAATAAGATGGTCTTTTTTTAATCTAAATCTGCACTAAAATTTAATTTTGGATGGTCTTTTTACATGGCCATTTCGACCTAAATTGTGATCTCTAAATTATACCATATATATCGGTTATAACCAATACTAATTCTTGATCAAGCTTTTTTACATATAATGTCAGTGTTGCTGATTAGAGCTTGAGCAACTATGTGAGCTCAACAAAATACATAGTAGGCTTATGAAGTTTGCTAGACTACAAATGACCAAGTAGCTTATGTGGAACTCCCATTCTGGTATACTTGGAAAATGATATGAAGAGTGTAAATCCTCTACAACCTTGATTCCTAATACCCATTACTCAGTCTCATCATGAATTTGTTGGTTGGAAAACATTGCTTGTCTAGAATTTTTACTTTGGAATGGCGTATTCAAATAATAAAAGTTAATTAAAATAAGAAACTTCTGCTGGTCAGTGTATGTCTGTGCGGACATGTCACTTATGGATCATGATATGCTGTATTGAGTACACTTTCATTTCAAAAGAGGAACTTTTGCAGTTCAAAAAATCTCGTGCACCATAGACATCATATATTACAGATGGACTATGATTTCCTTGCTTGCCTGTAGCACTGCACTAGCAATTCTCTGTGGCTTGAGGAAATATATTCATCTACTAACTTTTGTATTATTTGTTTTTTAAGTTGTACTCTTTTTTTGTTGTTCTAGGTGGTATATTTTTTTTATGCCTTTAGACTTGGACTTCACATTCTTAGGGATTTTGCAAAGCTCACATGCCCAGTTGGCTGATACTGTTCAGAGAGGGGGAAGAAAACCTGTATAATCCAGTACTATTATTTTAGATTAGTCTTATACTAATTTTTTCCACGTTATTTACATGTATGGTAACCAGTAACTTGGCTCCGTAAAGTATCTTACCATTCGGTAGCCCTTTTGTTGATTTTCAAGTAGCAGTTTGTACTCGATTTTTTTCTCCCCTTAATTAACTTTGTGTTTTTGTTTACATTTGAAACAGGTGTTTATCTTTTCCTTCTTTCTTGTCTTTTTTGTTTATTGCTCATAATACAATTGTTACTAGTCATCTATCATCTTATTGCTTTTAATGACTGGTGAGGCTCCCTCAAATAGCTTTAGGTGTGAATTAACATGTGAAATGACTGCTTATGGTTGTAATCAGTACTTTGAGCCATCTTGATTACTATTATCTTGCATGTATATCATCTTTTTATAGTTGCTATATATGTTGTGTCATCTATAGGTTTTGTGGTCAATTAGGTTTATACGCTGTTATTAAGAGTTCATGCAGTCATCTAGAACTTGCAAAGATGTCTTCTAGAATCATGTATATGGTGCAATTTATTGTGCTACTCTTATAGAAAGGTGGATCAAATCAAGTTGTTAAACTTTTTGTCCTAAGTAACTCCACATGAAATAGGTGGTGCTAGTTTATTTGCCCTTTCTTAACATCTATTTGTTTCTTTGTCTCCCATTCCTATATATATATATATATATATATATATATATATATATATATATATATATATATATATGT